CTGCCAGTGTATTTATCTTGAAAGAAGACTATCTGCACATTTGAGAGATGCTCCTTTCAGAAACACCCTCAGGAGTAATCACTGTGTTAGCCACTAGCAGGAAAGCCTCATTGCTTTAAGATGGCCAGAGCCATCACATCCTGGCCTCCTGAAGTTGTCATCTTCACCCAAAACTAGGCCTCACGTGTTTCCTTTTCTGCTCTTCTGTTTTACAGGTGTGACTCAGCACATCTGTAAAATGGATCAAAAGTGTTTTAACGCAGGAAGACAGTAGATACAAGAAGGAAGAACCAATAATTAAGGGTTCTTTTATTTGTTTGGAACAAATTCATAGGCAAAGCCTTTTATTGGTAGCTTGAGGAAACTTAAAAGTAGTAGGAAAGGGTATAAAATCTCTTTCTGGGACACGTGAAGCTCCTAGTTTTATAACATGTTATCTGTAATATTTCTCTAGCCCTGAAGCACTTCTGAACATTACTTCAGAACATAAAACCTATGCTTTGTTTTAAAAGGTTTTTGTTGTTACGTAATAGCATCCAGCTGCTAATCCTTTTGAGCAGCACCTGTAATAATAATATGGCAGGAGGAGCCTTCCGTTCACGGTGTGCGGGTGTCTGCGGGTTGCCTCCTGCGGTGGAGTGGTGTGGAAACAAGCACGTGGCCTCTGTGAATAGCCACAGAAACACCTGAACGTCCTTTGCTTAGCATCCTTCTTTGCACTTGTGAGAGATTCTTTGGGGAGGATGTGATCATCTCTGATCCATGGATTTAGCTTCCCTGCCAACGATGGTGTGCGATTTTTCACCTAGAGACACGGGGAGCTTGTGCCTTCGTGAAAGTTGGGGCAGTGTGTGTTTTATCCATTAGCAGAGGCAGCATAATGGATGAGCTCAGGTTTGAGTTCCAGATCCATACGTAAGCTCTGCGTGCCTCAGTTTCTCCATCTGTAAAATGGTACCTACCTCATTGGAAGAGTGCCTTGCTTGTAGTAAGCACTATGTAAGCATTAACCTGCCATTACTGTTAATGGGCCAGGCGCAGTGGCTCACGCCTGTAATTCCAACACTTTGAGAGGCCGAGGTGGGCAGATCACAAGGTCAGGAGATCGAGACCATCCTGGCTAACACGGTGAAACCCCATGTCTACTAAAAATACAAAAAAAATTAGCTGGATGTGGCAGCGTGCGCCTGTAGTCCTAGCTGCTGGGGAGATAGAGGCAGGAGAATGGCGTGAACCCAGGAGGCGGAGCTTCCAATGAGTGGAGATCTCACCACTGTACTCCAGCCTGGGTGACAGCAAGACTCCGTCTCAAAAAAAAAAAATTACTGTTAATGTAACTATTGTTTGACTCTTCCCTGTTCTGGGATCACATTAAATTGTAAAACTGCTATTTTTTGTTTTTGTTTTTGTTTTTTTGAGATGGAGTTTTGCTCTTGTTGCCCAGGCTGGAGTGCAATGGCGCATATCTCGGCTCACTGGGTTCAAGAAATTCTCCTGCCTCAGCCTCCCAAGTAGCTGGGATTACAGGCACCCGCCACCACACCCAGCTAATTTTTGTATTTTTAGTAGAAACGAGATTTCACCATGTTGACCAGGCTGGTCTCAAACTCCTGACCTTAGGTGATCCAACCCATCTCAGCCTCCCAAAGTGTTGGGGTTACAGTTGTGAGCCACTGTGTCTGGCCTATAAAACTTAATTTGCTTACCTTTTGGCATTTTCTACCACTGCCTTAATAACTCACCCACCCAAGGATAAAGATAAGAAAATAAAAACATTTTCAGACTTTTCATGTTTTATTGGATATTTCAAACATACACCAAAATAGAAAGGACATATTTACAGGAAAATGTTATTTTTATTTTATTTATTTATTTGAGACAGAGTTTCACTCATTCACCCAGGCTGGAGTACTGTGGTGCAATCTCAGCTCACTGCAACCTCCACCTCCCCAGGTTCAAGCAGTTCTTCTGCCTCAGCCTCCCAAGTAGCTGGGACTACAGGTGCGCGCCATCATGCCCAGCTAATTTTTGTGTTTTTTAGTAGGTACGGGGTTTCACCATGTTGGCCAGCCTGGTCTCGAATTCCTGGCCTTATGTGATCCACCCACCTTGGCCTCCCAAAGTTCTGGGATTGCAGACGTGAGCCAAAAATGATTTTTAAAGGCAAAAGAAATGTCATTTGAAATGTGAAAAGTAGAAGTTACACACCTATTGCCTTGACGTAGCTTTTTAAAATGTTCGTCTTATGCATACACACTGTACATAGTTGTAGTTCTAGAAAACATACCATTTTATGGCCTTTCTCTACCCAGCATTCAAGTATAAGCATTTTTTTCCATTGAAAACTACTTGTTTTCAATGTAGTTGAAACAAGTACATTGTTTCAACAAGTAGTTTTCAATGGTTTTGTACCATAATAATTGTTTCCCTTTTTTAAAAATATATAAATGAAACATCGGTGAAAATTTTACTGCAGATAGTTGGGGGTTATCTAGGAAGGTGATTTTTGTTTTGCTTTTTTGATTAAGAGTGTCAGCATTTCTTTCGTGGTACATGAGAACCTTACTATAAAGTGGCTCTTCAGGACTGTTCTGAAGTCAGCCTTATGAAGGTGAAATAAACCCTGATGAAATCACCCCAAGTCTGTGGCTTTTATTATAAGGCAGAGCTGCTCTATGTGAATACCTGGTGTGTGAGAACAGGACGTGGTAGCTGTCATGGGGCCCTCTAGCCCATCATTCTCTAGACCTGCACTGTCCAATACAGGATCTACTAGCCATTTGTGGTTATTTAAATTTAATTAGAATTAAATAAACTGAAAATTAATTTCCTTATTCACACTGGCCATATTTTGAGTGCTCAGTAGCCACTTGTGGCTAGTGACTATTGATTTAGATGGGGCACATATAAAACGTTTTTATCACTGCAGAAAGTTTGGTTGAGTAACACAGCTCTAGATTATTCTCTAACTGCTCAGCTTCTTAACCTTACAGTGGTAAGAGCCACCTCTTAGGTAAGATTTTCTAGAGCAAAGTTGGGCAGACCTTGGGTACTTGTTTTTGTATGTGTAGTTTTATAGGAATACAGCCACATTGATTTGTTGACCTATACTCTGGCTGCTTTTGTGTTAACAGTGGCAGAGCTGAGTTTTGAATAGATACGACAGAGACCATATGTGGCCTGCAAAGCCTAAAAGTATTTGACCCTTTACAAAAAGGTTTGCCTACCCCTTTTATCTAGATCACGGTTTCTCAACCTCAGAACTGATGACATTTTGGTCTAGGTAATCGTTTGTTGTGGGACTGTCCTGTGCGTTGTAGGTGTTTAGCAGCTTCCCTGGCCTTCACCCACCAGATGCCAGTAGCACCCCTTAGATATGACAACCAAAAATGTCTCTAGACATTGCCAAATTCCATGGGGAGCAAAATCACCCCTGCCTGAGAACCACAGATCTCAAGCAGTGTGGCTTGGCGAAGCATTCATCTGTAATACTGCAGAGGAGCGCCCATTGTTAAAAGAAAAATGTGTTGAAAGAGTTGACTAAATTAACGAGTAGTTTTGTATGCTACTTAGTATACTTCAGCATTGTCTGCAGAAACAGGAATGTTTGATATAAAACATGACAAAGTCGCTGGAGTGGGGCAGAGTCATGGAAGCGTTCTCATGTCCTTCTATTTCTCAGGGGTGCCACAGTTCACTGAGGAGCAGAGAGTGGAAGTTACAGCATCTCTGAGCTGTGGGGCATGTGGGTTGTGTTATATCCAGGTTCTCAGGGCCTGCTTTTCTAAAAGGCTGGGTAATTGCAGGTGTTTGTTGTTTGCTAACTGTGTGTAGATATCATCTGTGTATGCCTGGCAAGAAAGGAGTTAATAAATGTCACGTCTGTAATCCCAGCACTTGGGGAGGCTAAGATGGAAGGATCACTTGAGTCCAGGAGTTCAAGAGCAACCTGGGCAGCATAGGGAGACCCTGTCTCTATTAAGAAAAAAAAAAAAAATTTAGCTGGGCATAGTGGCACATGCCTGTAGTCCAATTTCCTTGGAAGACTGAGGCTGGGAGGTTGGCTTGAGCCCAGGGGTTTGAAGTTGCAGTGAGGTATGATCACACCTGTGCATTCCAACTTGGGCAACAGAGTGAGATCCTCTCTCAAAAAAATCTTTTTTAAATAAATAAATGTAGTAGATTGGTGCTTATCTGTCTTATGAATATTTGTGGTTTTATGTGGTCCATATAATTCCTATCCTCATTACCCAGAATAGTTGAAAAATTGGTTGTATTTACCTCCATTAGAAGTTGCAAGAATTAAATTAAATGTCAAGTCCTATAAAATTGTGTTCAAGGCTGAGCACAGTGGCTCACACCTGTAATCCCAGCACTTTGGAAGGCCGAGGCTGGCAGATCACTTGAAGTCAGGAGTTCGAGACCATCCTGGCCAACATGGTGAAACCCCATCTCTACTAAAAATACAAAAATTAGCCAGGCGTGGTGGCAGGTGCCTGTAGTGCCAGCTACTTGGAAGGCTGAGGCAGGAGAATCGCTTGAACCTGGAGGCAGAGGTTGTAGTGAGCCGGGATTGCACCACTGCATTCTAGCCTGGGCAACAGAGCGAAAAAACAAAACCAAACCAAACAAAAAAAACTATCTTCAATTATTTTAAGACCCAGCATTTGAATACCTTTCACGGGGGGGGTTTTGTAAGCTGTAGAAAATGGCTATGTGAAATAGCCATAGAAATAGAGTGAAATAGAATTGGGAAAATTGTCTTTCAAAGTGAGTATCAGGTATATCTTATCTCGTTCTTCAAATTAAAATTAAAAATTTTAATTGGTATTGAAATGAATGTGTAATACAGGTCACATGTACTAGAGCACACTTGTATGGAGAATCATCCCCATGTTGTTAAATATCTAAGAAGGTAAGCAGCTTGACTACTGAATGCAGGTGAATTTTAGGTGAACTTGTATTTCCTGTGCATGACATGTTTCTGTCTGGTTTTTCAGATCTTACCAATATATTTGAGTCCTTCCTGCCCCAGTTGTTGGCCTATCCTAACCCCATAGATCCTCTCAATGGTGACGCTGCAGCCATGTACCTCCACCGACCAGAAGAATACAAGCAGAAAATTAAAGGTAAGAGGGTGCGTAGTTTACCTAGAGACAAAAGAACTTAAATCTGTTGGGCTTCAGTCGTTAAAAGTCCTTCTTAAATTACTTAGTTCCTAATACTTTTTCTCGGGCCTAAAAAGAGACAGCTGTGGGCTGAAGTAGCACTCACCAACCTTGGGTGGTAGTAGCACCAGTTTGCTCATCCTTTAGGATTTAGAATCCTATTTTCCCATTCTTGAAACAGTTTACATGCTGATGGGATGTGAGTTTGATTTAAATGAAGATAAGTTTGCGAAAGAACATATAGCTGGCCATGGTGGCTCACGCCTGTAATCCCAGCACTTTGGGAGGCTGAGGCGGGCGGATCACGAGGTCAGGAGGCCGAGACTAGCCTGGCCAACGTGGTGAAACCCCATCTCTACTAAAAGTACGAAAATTAGCTGGGTGTGGCGGCACGCGCCTGTAGTCCCAGCTACTCGGGAGGCTGAGGCAGGAGAATTGCTTGAACCGGAAAGCAGAGGTTGCAGTGAGCCTAGACTGTACCATTGTACTCCAGCCTGGGTGACAGCAAGATTCTGTCTTTAAAAAAGAAAAAAAAAAAAATCTAAAACTCCACCTGAATTCATTGGATTGTCCATTTTGCCTCTGTTACTTTTCATAGTGAAAAGTCTAGATACATGAAGCTCCACCAAGAAGCAAAGGAATTCAAAGTGTGTAATATACCTGCTGTTTTTAACCAATGGCAGGTATTAGTATCTAGCCCATTTTTCACATGATGGGCCCGTCTGCATAGCAGTCCAGAATGTTGGCTTCCTCAAAATGTGTGGCCTATCTGAGGTACATTTGCAAGAGGTGGCAGTAGAAGTAATTTACCAGAGCTTGAATGTGCAGGTCTTCACTCTGAAATGTGCAGGTATGAGGCAAACAGGGACTATTCATGAAACAATAGTTTTTCTTCTGTTTGTTTTCTAATTCTTCTTCCAAGGTCTCTATAGGGTATTGTTTGGAGCTTTTGTTGAGATAAAGCAGAAATAAATTTACTGTAATTAAGTAGATCTCAAGTGCTTTGCAAATTAATATCTAATTTATGTAGCAAAATATATAGCTGAGCAAACATGTATTTGAAGAAAAAGGCAGTTTCAGCCAGATAAAGTGCTATTATGAGACTATATTAAAATTTTGAAATAGGAATCACTTAGCAATGTCTGCAAACCACAGATATCTTGGAGCAGAGTGTATTTCTCTAGTTCACATATGCATTCCGTCCCAACAATTTAGCAGTAGCCCTGTTTCAGTACATATCTGCTATAGTCCCATTTACAAAAAGAACCGAGCCTGCATTTATCTTAGAATGGCTCACTCCAGGGTACGGACCCCCGGCCTTAGGAAATGTTCATGTTGGCTATCATTTTGTCTTTCTTAGAAATCTGAGAAAATCATGGCCATCAGACCTGAGCTCACCCCCAGTTCCTACTGTACCTTGATGTCTTCTCCCCTCCCGCCTACATCTTTTCTTTGTTCCTGTGGGAAATAAGAGACACCCTTCCTCATTTCTCAAACTCACTCTCACCACCAACCTGTGATCTTGTTTCCCCAACCCCCCGCCCCTCCCAACGCAGTCTTCCTCCTGCACCTGCCAGAGGTCTCCCTGTTTCAGAAGCGGTGATCTGCTCCTGTGGGCTCCCTTAGGAGTCATGCTGTTTATTCCCTTTCATTTTCAAACTTGCATCCTCACCGTAAACTCCTCTAATTTTTTTCCCCTCCTCTGCTTAATCTGTGCCCTCATTTCTTCCCAATCCTTTGGACTCTTCTCAGGTTCCATTTTGCTGGACCTCTCTGCAAGTGTTATATTTTACCCTAACCTTTCTGGAAAATTCTCATTCCGTTTCCTAAATGTGGTCATTCACTTAGGACTTGGTCCCTGGGCTCCGTCTCTTCCTCTCACCCCTGGGGACCTGCTTCACCTCTCACAGCTTCAGTCAGTCCCCTCCAGGGAGATGATTTCTCAATGTGTGTGTCTAGGCCTGGCCTCTCTCCCAAGCTGCTGCTGGACATTTCCATTTGTGTGGCAGTCACCACCAACTCAACACACCTAACACAGTCAGCGTTCATATTTAGTTGGCAGTGTCTTGTAGTGCATGTCTGAAAACGTGTTTAAATATTGGATAGCCCATAGCACTGGGCACCATTGGAGCTGTCTAAAGCTGTCACTTCCCTGCTCAGAACCCTTTGCTGGGTGACATCTTTGCCTGCCATTCAGGGCTCTCTGATACTGAGTGGAATCTACCTCTTTGCCTTTACTCCTTTTTTTTTTTTTTTTTTTTTTTTTTTTTGAGAAAAGGTCTTAAATATAGCTCTCCCTCTCTCTTTTTTTTTTCGAGATGGAGTCTTGCCCTGTTGCCTAGGCTGGAGTGCAATGGTGCGATCTCAGCCCACTGTAGCCTCTGCATCCCGGGTTCAAGTGATTCTCCTTCTTCAGCCTCCCGAGTAGCTGGGATTACAGGCGTGTGCCACTACGTCCGGCTAGTTTTTTGTATTTTTGTAGAGATGGGGCTTTACCGTGTTGGCCAGGCTGGTCTCGAACTCCTAACCTCAGGTGATATACCCACCCTCCCAAAGTGCTGGGTTTACAGGCTTGAGCCGCTGCACCTGGCCATAGTTCTCTCTTAAGGTTGTGTTTAAGCATCCCAGCCACTTACTTTCAGCAAAGCAAAGCCTTTCCCTGGAGTGACCTCTGCTATGTCGTAGCTGCCAGGACTTGGAGGTCAGTGTGGCTGGGACTGCCTCAGCCGTTTTTCTTCTGTAACTGCTTCCCTCTGGTGACACTTAGCAGCTCCTTCCTTTTATCTTCCTCTGTTTCCTCCTCCTCATTGGTGACCTCGCTTTTCCTTTCCCTATCCCAAAGGCCTTGTCCTAAGTACTTAATACACATTTGTTTCCTTGAATATATTAAAGAGGGCTGATAGTATCAAATTCTAGTGTCAAAAAAACAATGTCAGTATGTAGCTTCTACAAAGGAAGATGCAAAATAGCCAACCCATTAGAGGTTAAAAATAAAATTGTTAAAGTTTGAATAAACATTTATTTCACTCAAAAATGTAAATTAAGGTAAATTCCTACCTAATCATGGGCGACTTTAATCTCATCAAAATCATTAGCATAAAGTTTTGTTATAATGAATTTGAAGGGCTCTAAGTCTCAAGTCTGCAAACCTTTTCTGTAAAGGACCACATTGGCCAGATGTGGCCTTTATCACACGTTCTGTTTATTTTTTTAAGACAATCTTTAAAATATAAAAACATTCTTAGTTAGGCCCTGTGCTAGTTATTCAAATCCGGTAGGCCCATTTGGCCATTCCGCTTATCTTCCTATTGCAGTGAGTCCCTGCAACTCTATAGGAGGAAAAACAAAGCCACAAGGGTGTGTTTTTGTGTGGCTTGCATTTTGAATAGGTTTCTGTCTTGTCTTTTCCTATTGTGTGTAGGCTATTCACTTGAAAACAGAGTTTTTAGGAACAAGTTTGTTTATTCAGCAATTCTTAAAAGCAGTTTCAGCAGTCTTATTCAGCCTAGGGTTCCACCAAGGCTGTAGCAGTGGAAATCTACCTTCAGGTAAATTATACATGGAAAAGCCACCCAGAGCCAAGTGGTGTCTCCATATAGCAGCTTAGTCCTGAGCAGATTGAGCGATGGTTTTGCCAGCTGTTTCAAAAACCTGACAGGCAGGATCTGTTTAGACTAAAATCGATTCCTAAAATAATAGACCTGGGCTGACTGTAATGATGTAACTGCAGATCTAAAAATGATGGGGGATTTCCTTATAAAATTACTATGGAATCATGACTAGTCCTGTCTGTACTATCTGGGAGGTGAAAGTAAAAAGAAAGCATGGGGCTCCCATTTCCCCTGTCCCTGAAGAGTTATTGGGGTGCTGCAGCGCACGTATTCCCCTGCAAGCTGAGCCTGCTGTGTTGCTCTTCCCAATATCCCTTCCCTCAGGGGGCAAAATGCAGAAACCCTGTCCCAAGGAAGTCTCCTTGTGGGATTCCCCTTAGCTGTAGTGACCATGATTACTGTCATCTTTGTCCCCCCGGTGTTCAAGGTAAGTTTGAACCTCCCCAGCCTTGCCAGCTTTTTGGGGTCGCCAAGCACATGCCTACCCACTCACTGCCCTTGTTGTCTTTCTCCCACCCGGTGCAGAGTACATCCAGAAATATGCCACGGAGGAGGCACTGAAAGAACAGGAAGAGGGCACCGGGGACAGCTCATCGGAGAGCTCTATGTCTGACTTTTCCGAAGATGAGGCCCAGGATATGGAGTTGTAGTAGAAAAAGCACCTGCTTTTCAGAAAGACTATTATTTCCTAACCATGAGAAGCAGACTATAATATTCATATTTAAACAAAGCAATTTTTTTTATTACTAAACAAGGTTTTTATGAATAATAGCATTGATATATATATATTATATATCACCCTTTAGATCTTGATTTCTTGGTCATTTCTCAACCTGAGGTGCATAGCATATTCCCACATTCCATTTGGTAGCAATATGCGGTCCGAATGCATGCATTCATGAGTCCATGTGGCCAAGTCAGCCTGTGTGCTACTGAACTGTCAAAGGAAATAGCCGCTCTGATAGGTAGACATGAGTAAAAAGAACAGGAAAAAATCGCTTCTTGTATTGATGGTTCCAAAGAAACAAACCAAACCAACCAGCTCTTGGATGTGAAGATAAAATAGTGCTTTTTCAAAATGGAAAGGAAAAACTTGGGGAGGAAGAGGCCTGCTGTGGGGGCATTAGAGCCAGCCACATAAGAATCAGAGCCGCTCCTTCCTGTGAATCCTAGGTGGCCCTATGTCTTCTGTGGAGTTACAGTATATGAAACAGGGAGCTAATTAGAGTATTAAAACGTAAAACCATTTTTTTGACTCTGATTTTAAGTACATTTTTATATATCAGTTCCTGCCCTTCACACTACCAGGCCCTGCAGCCACAGTGTTCTGTTGGAGAAACTTGGAGAAGTATTTTCTGAACCGGTTCTTTTTCTTGGGGTAGAACTTGTAATCCAGACCTGTTTTTGAAAGGACAGCACAGGAGGAGAAAAGTGACTGGGACGATGCTTCCTCTCATCCAAAACACATGCAGAGTCACATCCTCGTCCTAGTGTTTGGCAGTTTGAGACCGCTACCCTGAACTTACGAGCTTTAAATAAGAGGGTTGTGTTTTCGGGGGGTTATTTTTTTTTGGTGTGTGTGTGTGTGTTGTGCTTAGAAAGGTTGCAGATTTCATCTTCACCTACCAAGAGGCGGCTGCCTCCTTGGACAAGCCGCTCATGGACCATTAGACTTGAGAAGAAGACCCATGTGGTAATGCAAAGCCCTGGGTACTTGGGTGTTTTGGTTTGGTTTTCCCTTTTTCTGCTGCTCTTGGCAGCAGCCTGGTCATCATCTGCTTGTGGGAGTGGGAAATGGGTATTTTAGACCCAACACAGGTTCCAAATTTAAAACGAATAATAATTGGAACAAATAAAGGTTTTTGTACCCAGAGTGATTCTACATGGGAAAAACAAACCAACTTTTTTCAGAGAGTGACCGAATAGGAAGAAGGGATTCAGAAATACGATGTTGTAGAACATGCCTTGCAGGAAGAAAATGTTTTCTCTCCTGTGTATGTTAAGAGGAAATCAGTTTAAAATGCCTGCTAATCAAATGTCGACTCAGCTAACCATATGTCCAGGTTGCTGCAGAGTTTCTTTCAAATCTCAGTGTTGCCTGCTGAACTTGGAGGGGAGTTTGGAGAAATTTTAGACAGCAGCTCTGTATTTTTTTGCCGCAGCCAATAAGATAATAGCAGAATTAGCCAATCCTAAAACCTTCTAAAGACGATTTTTGAGCATCCCACTGGGATTATTTAATTTTTCTTTTTGACGTGTGTTTTTAGTTTAGAAGTGCTGTATTCCACAAGGTTTAAGTCAGTGAGGTTGGAAGATACCCTCTCTTTTTTTATTCAAAAAGCACAATCAATCTTTTCTTTGAAAATCTATATAAAGTACAACTTGCTTTTAGCATGATTATTTTCCTAAATAAAAAGACAAAGAATTTACTTTACATTTATGTTAATTACGGGCATGAAGCAAAAGGTTTTCTTTAAAAAAAAAAAAAAAAAAGTGCAGTGATGTAGGGCTGTGGTTAGTTAACCGTACTGAGTTATCCATCTAGCATCTGTGGCTTGCTGGAAGGGTAGTATTAACTATTTAACATGTAATGGTGTACTTCACTCTTACCTAGCACGCTGTCTTCTCATTGCTTTGGGGGAGGGAGGGTCTCTGCTGGCACTGTCTAACTTGCTTACCTGCTGACTTTGCAGTTTGCTTGTGCTATGACATTTATTGTAGGTGCTATTTAGGGTAGGCTTAAAGTGCTGGGTGGTGATTTGAGTTCAAACAATAAAAAATTGTATTTTTTCAATATTGTATAAACAATAGTGTTCTAATTACCTTAAAAAAAAATAATGACCAGTTAAGAATTGCTTTTGATCTTGTCAAAAAACCGAGTAGACCCCAGTTTTGGGAAGGTGTGTGAGCAGTGTCATGGCTCTGCCCCTTACCTAATCCCACATCTCTCTAATGATAAGACATTGGCTCGCCTCTGACCAGAGCCCCAGCACCAGAGAGCGGAAGGTGCAGAATTGTCAAATGACCTACTGGGGGAGGTTGTAGGAGTTAAGCAGATTTGAGTGTGGCTGCAGAGTGTGTGTGTGTGTATATGTGTGCACACGTGCGAAGAGAGTGTGAGCGAGAGAGTGTCCATCTAAGTCTGTATGATGAAGGTGGGATAAGGCTCCTCTCTTGGCGCTGGAAGCTCCTGTAATTGCCGCATAGATCCCACTATGCCCTCTTGCTCTGTGCAAGTCTGTCCTGTCCGGGCACTAACCTTGGTCCCATGCATGTTTACATTCTGGGTGGGGCTTTGCCTCTCCGCTGGGAAACTGACTTTTGCTGGGTTGAACAGAGTCTCTTCTTATGCTTTTTGTCCCTTCCCTGCGCCTGGAAGAGGTGTGAGTAGGAACCCAAAACATACAGGTACAGAAAGATCTGGAAGAAGGCCTGGCAGTGAATCTGAGGACTCTGGGCCCCCTACAATAGATGGTAGCGTAAGTCTGGAGCAGGGGTGTTTCACCACCAGATGCCTTTCCAGGCTGCCCTTCCAACACTCAGAAGAGCATCCAGATCCCTGGGCAGAGGCTGTACATTCTTGGCTTTAGAGGTGGTGGCAGCGGCAGCAGGTCAGAGCCACTTCTGGCGGTTTCCCTCCCCTTTTTAGTGCTTTAGTGCCCATAGTTTTTGGATCCTCATGTTTTACCAGCACAAGCCATTCTTCGCCCCTGTTCGCATAACTGAGCTCAAGCTCTTGCCAAACACCAACAAGCAAGATGGTTGCAACCTGGCAACATTGAATCCACCGCCCTTAGGCTCCCTCTGGAAGCCCCAGCACCGGGGGCTTATGGGCACAGGGTCAGTGGTGGCCATCCTGGACACTGGCATTTGGCTTTGTCTTCAATCTCATCACCCTCCTTGAGGTTACTGTGCAGTTTCAACCAGCATTTTATACTAGTGAGGTCATTATCAGGAGTTGCCATATCATCTCTCCAGTACCTAACATTTCTCATCCTCTTCAAAAGCTGTTCTGACTGCCAGCTGGCTGATCTAAGCTCCTGAGGAATGTCTCCTCTCAAAGGCATTTTTCCCTCCAAAGGCCCCCAGAAGTCCTAGTTGGCATTGGCCTGGCACGTGCTTTATATTAGGCCTCCCGTTGGGATGGCTGAGAATCATGAAAGACAGATCCTCCGCTAGCCTCAATGGGTCGTTTCTAGACACCAAGTCTCTGGGAACTAGTGTTTGATTTTAAATGGCATATGGCCCTTCCTTGTTTCAGTGACTTAGAAAAGTAAAAGCCACTTACAAAAGTTAGCAAGATTTTTTATCGACTTCCCACCTGGGCTCCTAGCCTTGTTGAATGAAATCAAATATCTCTGATTGGGCGCAACGAACTGCATTTCTTTGGACTTCCGAATCCATGTTTGTGCTTTCTCTGGCCCCTTAACACCTCGGCGATTCTGTTAGGGATGGGATGAGTGGGAGGAAGCCCTTTGAGAAGGGGGAATCGGCTCTCTGGTGCGCAGGTTTTCCACTCATCTGAGGAAGGGCCAGGGCTCTGAACTTAGCCAAACACTCATCTTGGCTGTGGGCTTGGGAAGAAATGGCCATTATTTATGGATTGTATTTGGTACATATTGTGTGATACTTGAAAAGATAAAAGGGACTGCCAGCCCGTAACTGAAATCTGAAGCTTTTTATCGCTTATTTTTCCTTGCCCTGTCTCCTCCCTTCCACCTTTCTTCTTGCATTGTGATGATCTAGTAGGCATGTCTGTCAACAGGACACATGCCTTCTCTGACTATAACCTCTTAATAGTTGTGTATAATGAAAACTGTAAACTTTTTTAAATAAACGTGTATATACCTTGGCAAATGGCTGGACCTTGATCAATAAGATAATAGCCCTCATGATTACTGTCAGCTGGTTTTCTAAAATACCCTCTCTGTTCTGGCTCCTTTGAGCAGCAGACGCTGGCTTCTTCTGGCTGAGCAGCTCTTGGAATGCAGGTGACTAAATTAGTTTGGGAAGGGAGTGGCACCCTTAGGCAGTGATAACCTAGAGGCTCTGCCCAGAGGCCTGTCCTTGAACCTGGAATTCAGATGCAAGACTGCTGGCTATGAACGGGGCTGTGAGGCTCCTCCACTAGAGCCTTGTAAAGCCCGAAGGTCCGTATCTACCCCTATGCCTAAACCTTATAAGCCCTGTCAACTCACACCCAGTGAGGATACTCCGAGGCCTGGAGTTCACGGACAGTGCAGCTTCCTGCCGGGGCTGATCTGCCTAAACAGGTGGTCCTCTGCCAAGTGCTACGCCTCCTGGGAGATGAGGAACCGTGGGTTTTGCATGGGAAAACGCTTATTGCTGGATTAGACCAGCATTTCGATTGCTTTCTAAAGCGTTTGCTCTCGGTTACCACCAGATGGCGATACTGCTCAATCTAATGGAGACGGTTTTGTTAGCAGGACCTTAAGACAAAGGAAATAGTTTTGCTTTGTTCGTGTGTTCTCATTCCATCTCTTTTCCACTGTTTTCTCCTTTTTCGTTCCCCTAAACTCCTTTTTCTCCTTCCCTACATCCTGATGCATTCTCCTCAGTTGGCCCGGCTTCATACCTACCTGCCAGATTGAATGAGGTGGGACTGCTGAGGAATGGTGTACCAGTGCCTGCTCCCTCCCCACTGGCAGGGAACCCCCTAGCTACCCTGGATGCCTCCAGAGCCCAGAAGCAAAACGTTTAAGACCCTCTTTGTGGGTGGCACTCACGGACCCTTTAGCCAAAGGACTGAACCACAGAGCCATGAGTTCAAGTCCCAGCCCTTCCATTAGCCAGCTGTGCAACTTCAGGCCCCTTACTGGGCTTTCATGGACCTTGGGTACTGAGCTGTAAAGCAACATCCCTAGACTAATAGGTTCTGACTCTGCCACCCTGTGACTCAACTCCACCCAGGCCGCAAAACAGTGCCCCGTCACAAGATAGAGTAACAGAGAGGATGCTAGATATTAACCACGAAACACCAAAGTTTGAACACAGGTTTAGAGTTTTTAGGCCAAAGAGCTTTGGGGGTGTAGAGCAGTTTCCATCCTAAACGGGACTTAAGAGGTACATAGGCCATGTGAACAGTCATTCCATTGATCTCATATAAGGCAGCTGCTTTTAACCCGCCCCCCCCCCACCAAGGAGAAGTCTCAGTGCAGTCGCTGGCACTTGGGTCTCCCAACCGCCCCCCTCCGCCAACCCTGGGAATCTCACCCAGCACCACTCACCCTCGGCCTCAGTCTAGCTGCTTCCCAAGTGGCAGGTGGCTTGTCACTACCTGCCTGAGTCAATTGTTCCTTTCCTGGGAAGGGGACCGGGGTTTCTGAGGCACATTGTCCTGGAAAAGAAAGCTGGTGGGCTCTGAGCCTCAAAACTTTCTTGCTGGCTCTGAAGGCTGCTCTGTCCCCCAGGGAATGAGTGCCTGTGACACTGGATCTGGGGGTGTCCCGCTCCCCACCCAGAACCAAGACAAAGGATTTTTTTGACTCCCACAATCCCTGGAGTTGCAGAGGCCTTGTAGCCTCCTGGCAGGCTGAAGCAGCCCTATTTGTAAGTGGCATCTCAGGGACTCACCCCCCGCTGAGCCCCGGACAGTGCAACTTGGGCCCAAGCCTGCTGCCTTGGGCCTCAGGGTGTACT